GGTCAGTAGAAAATGGCCGCAAACTACATGAAAACTGTCGTAGAAGCGTGAAAAAAATCGATTATTTCCACTATCGATGGGAGTTGAGAAATGCAAAGTCGGTCTTGGCCTACCCGCTAACTTGGAGCATGTGCATGTAAATTTTGGTGCAAATCCGTCGAAAATTGCGGCCGTGGCCGTGCACACACACACACACACACACACACACACACACACACACACACACACACACACACACACACACACACATCCTGCCTTTTATAGATAGAGATTATTATACTCGTGACGTAGAAAATGAGGGCAATTATGAGAAAGTTTTAATAGGGAGATATAATGAAACAAAAGTCATGAAACAAAATCTTGAAACAGTGTATTAAGATAAGATCAATAAGGCGGAAATCAACAATTCGAAGGTAAAATAGAGACTAATAAATGTTTAATTAATCCGTTCTCTTTATATTTTTTAAACATTCAATGCTAGAAATGTTCCCATGTCTTTATTTGACAGATTCATTAAGAACTTTATCTTTCTTGACCAATTTATTAACTATTTTTTTAATTTGATTTTTTGATTTGATTTTTATGATCTTCGATTTTTAAAACAATCTCTTTCTTGGGTTGAAAATTTTACGAACAGATAAGTATATTAAACCAATTCACTGGTCACTTAATTAAGTACACGTGAATAAATAGTTTTATGGAGATTTCTAATCAGCCATTTAAATTAACGAATGGAATGGAATGAAAGAAAAAGAAATTTTTATTCTCAGAAAAATAAACTTGATAAGTCCTGGACGAAACCGGTTTTTTTGGGGGGGGTATTTTTTTTTCAGTTTTTTTAATAAAATATGCCTTATAAATTTTGCCTTTTCCTAGCTATGATTAAATTCGGTACCACTAAAAAACTTACCAAAATTTTATTAAAAAAGAACTGAAAAAAAAAGCCAAAAAAACAACCGGTTTCGTCCAGGACTTATCAAGTTTATTTTTCTGAGAATAGAAATTGTTTTCTCTTTCATTCCATTCCATAATTTAATTTACACGCTTTTTTATAAATTTATATATATATATATATATATATATATATATATATATATATATATATATATATATATATATATATATATATATATATATCGATCCTAGTAATATTAATAATTAAAACAGTTAGCTTGATGTTTTTATTTTAACAGAGCATATGTATTTTTTAAAGCAAAAAAAAAAAATTCCCCAACAAAGAGAAAGTCTATAGAACGGCTTGAAATAGACTATCTCTATGTTGAAGTAATTTTTTATTTTTTTATATATATATATATATATATATATATATATATATATATATATATATATATATATATATGTGTGTGTGTGTGTGTGTGTGTGTGTGTGTGTGTGTGTGTGTGTGTGTGCGTTTATATATACAGAGGAAGAGAGAGATTTTTTGTATATATATATATATATATATATATGTGTGTGTGTGTGTGTGTGCGTTTTATATAGAGAGAGGAAGAGAGAGACTATACAAATAAATCCTTGTGCATGCCGTGGCACTATTTTGATGCTAATTTTCCACATATTCCCCTCTAAGATTGATGCGGTTTCCGACCGGCGAACGAAAGTATAGAGACCCGCCCGAAGAACGAGACATCAAGAAAGTGGAGCCGCCCTTTTACCTCCGTGTCAAAAATAAAAGTTCTGTGGAACTTCTTCCCGGCTAAATGTCATTTGAGTGACCCAAATGAATGATAATAATAAGAAATCCAGTTGCCGAAAAACATTCCAGACATTTTGCTAGATACGTTATTTTCGTTCAGCGAAGGAATTGATAGTGACTGTGCCCTAGGATTGAAAGGTAGCGATGCTTGGGAATATTATATTTGTCTAATCCTGAGAAATACTTTACAAACAGAGGGGGGAAGCTGTTCAGCAGTAAAAAGCAGGAACGTTTAGCAATTGTGTCATTCTGTTGCACGATGATGTCACACCCACCCTCGGCCAACAATTCTAACCTCTTCAAATCTAAGACTAACTCTTATCTTCCTCACATATCCTCATTGTGATTCTTACTTTTATCGCGCATAAAATACCCTCCTTCAGTAAACCTCTATCTTAAGTATTTCTTAAGCTTGATATAGGGTGAACATTATAAAGTAGCAGATAAAGATTGGCTCCAATCATTTTGTGATAAGTTCGATTCTCACTTTTTATTTTATTACTGTTACTTTATACCAGATTAAGCTAAGCTTTATTTATACATTGATACATACATATATAGCTGGCCACTCGTATTCGATATTACCTGTCTATAAGGTCGGGTAGCCAATCTCTATTTGTGTTCATTCAACATAGCCCACCTGAGGTTTATGCTGAGCAGACCTTAGTTACACTTTCTGGGAAATAGCGTGTTTTCTAGCGCGATAAACAATTTGAACAAGCCCTCGTTCACGATGACTTGTGACTTCGAGCTAGGACAAGCTATCGACGGCCTCCAAGGGTTACGTCTACCCAATTTTGCTCACAAGGCTTTGGCCAACTCATTGTATGGTTTTCAGGCACTTTCCAAAGGTGATGCACACCGGTATCGACCCCTCCAGTCCGATAACAAATCGATATCTTAAAAAATCGACCATGCTGAGATTCGATCTCGGGTCTCATGGGGTCAGAATGCGAACGTTCTAACCACTCGGCCACGTGCCCATCACACACACACACACACACGCACGCACGCACGCACGCACGCACACACACACAGCTATATATATATATATTGCAATAAATTGTCGACTAAATTATGCAAAAATGAAAATAACACTGACATCTCGTTTTAACAGATATATTTATCAAAATTACATAAAAATATCTTGAAATACTAAAAAGTAAATTTATTCGATAAAATCGCCATTGGCTTCAAACATGGCCTCCAGACAACTTCGGCGTCCCTTGCAACTCTTCTGCACGGTCTCCTTGTTTAAGCTGGTGAAAGCTGTCATAACCCTTGCCTTCAGTTCATCTCTGGTGTTACAAGGAATTCTGTTGGTCTCTGCTCTCTACACATAATAATAAAGAGGAATGCAATCTAGATGCGTTATGTGACCAGATGTAAGTGTTGATGTAATCGCAGAAATTGTCTGACAGCCATGACTGTGTTCTCCTTTGCAGGGCGCTGCTACCGAACATAGGGTCTTCCTGCAGTCACCTTCTTGGCCCAGTGTAGCACTACCAACTCAAGGCAATTGATGTAAACCTCCATGATAAGTCTGAGACACTCACCATCATATTAGGAAGTTCGTTTCTTATCAGAACGATCAGAGTGAGTTTTCTGAGCTGCCGTACCTTCGTCATCAGCATTAGACTCATCCAAATCTTTTCGAATGTTCTGCTCTATACTCATATTGACACATAAACATTCTGAAATGCTCGTATTGGAGCTTTTGGCACAAATGCCACGGAGTACAGCATGCCGTTTCCGGAGTTGCCGTTGGAGGAGTGGATTGCGTCATGGTGCTCTTTTTCTCACAGACAGTGCACAACTGACTCTCCTATATTGTGAAGTCGACAAAACCAAACCCCAAAAACGCGCATGCGCAAAATTAAAAAAAATAAAATGGCAACTATTTACCCATACCGCATATATATATATATATATATATATATATATATATATATATATATATATATATATACACATACACACACAAAAAGAAAAGAAAAAAAAACACAAGAAAAAATTAAATAAAACCTTAACTGTAGTACCTTGTCTGTCGTTTTTAATGTAACATGCATATATATATATATATATATATATATATATATATATATATATATTTGTCTGTCGTTTTAATGTAACATGCATATATATATATATATATATATATATATATATATATATATATATGCATGTTACATTAAAACGACAGACAAGTTATTAATAGTATTTAATGTAACATGCATATATATATATATATATATATATATATATATATATATATATATATATATATATATATATATATATATATATATGCATGTTACATTAAAACGACAGACAAGGTACTACGGTTAAGGTTTTTACTTAATTTTTCTTGTGTTTATATATATATATATATACGAAGAGAGAGGTGAGATAGATTTGTTGGATATTGCTTTCCTGCATGAAACAGGCTGTTGCTGTTCGGCGTTGCTGTTCGGTGCCCTCTTTTTATATCTACATACTCTTTATCACTAACATTTATCACTTTAAGCCCATAGATATGACATAACTTAATACTATATATTTTTATAACACGTGTACGCACACACACATACGCGCGCGCACACACACACATATATATATATGATGAAATATAGTCTTATATTTATATGTGTATGCGTGCGTGCGAGTGTGTTAGAGCGAGAAAGGGAGAGAGAAGAAGAGGTAGGGTTAAACTGAGAAAATACTTATCGAAGTTTAATTTTCTCTCGCTTTGAAATAACTACCATTTATCGCCTCGAGTAAAAGTGTTTTTCTTTTTCATGTCACATTCAAAGTACACGAGGGAAGAGAAATCCTTACGGCATCTTTTGTATCCGTTAAGCTTTCCGGCAACATATTTACTAACATACATACATACATATATATATATATATATATATATATATATATATATATATATATATATAACTTTACGGTTTCTCTTTACACCTGGGTAAAGTTGAATTACACTCTCTAAATACTTTTTTCTGCTTATTTCTATGTTTTTTTAAGTACTTAATATATTTAATGACTGATATTATTGATAATAATATCGGTTAAACTAAAACCAGCAAAATTGTTGCGACCTCAAAATTAGGGGTTACTTCAATGTATTTACGCATGTTTGATGGTTGTTGATATTTTAATCGGAACTAATATCCCTACTAACAGCTTGCGAGATTAATTTGGTAGCTAGTGTTCCAATTGATACAAAACTAATGATAACTTGGCCCAAATTCAAACTGAACTAACTTGAGAGTTAAAGAACTTATTGAAGATAGATAAATAAGAGCCGACTAAAAGAAATAAATAGATATGAACGGAAAGCGATAAAGATAGATAGATAGATAGATAGATAGATAGATAGGAATAAACTGAGATAGACAGATAGATAGGAACAAACTTGGATAGATAGATAGATAGATAGATAGATAGATAGATGGCAAACCAAGATAGATAGATAGATAGATAGATAGATAGATACGCAATAACTGAGAGTGATACATAGATCGAAAGAGAGATAGATACGTAATGACTGAGATAGATACATAGATATACAGATAGATAGGTAGATAGATAAATAGATAGATAAGCAATGGCTAAGATAGATAGATATGCAATAATTGAAATATATAGATAGACAACGAATAAACTGAGATGGATTGATAGATAGATACGCAAAGACTGAGATAGATAGATAGATAGATAGATAGATAGATAGATAGATAGATAGATAGATAGATAGATAGATAGATAGATAGGAAATAAACTGTGATAGATAGATAGATAGATAGATAGATAGATAGATAGATAGATAGATAGATAGATAGATAGGAAATAAACTGTGATAGATAGATAGATAGATAGATAGAGAGATAGATAGATAGATAGATGTACACTGAGTTAGAAATACATAGAAATAATTGCAGATAAACATGCACGAGGAAGTGCTATAAATCTTCTCAGGCCGAACATGAAGTCCTTCCTAAATATAATATTTTGTCATTTTGGAAGTGGAATGGACCGAGACATTTTCTGCATCTTTTTGTTTTATATAATATTGTTTACAATTCGATATATTTACGAGGAATCGTGTTCTTTGTTGGGCTCAGTGTGCTTATAGATATATATTCAATGTTGACATAGATATAAAAACCATATAGTCTCTTGATCATTTCAAGCGTGAAACTGCCAGTCATCAGGCAGTGTTGATTTGTTTTGCCGCCAACTCTCTCTATACATATATTTCGCCTGATGCAAAATGAATAAAATATGCATTTCAACTTGCTCAATATTAAGCCTACAGGAATTATAGCTGGATTTACAGCACATGATCTCATATATGTCGATCAATACGTCGTTAGGTTATAAAATAACGAATTGATCAAAAGTGCACACATCCCATTTCAATAGAAAATCAAACCAAAAAAGAAGTGACTCGTCCGAAATATTTGCAGAAAACACAGCGGAAAGCAACGTCACGTTTGTCAGAAAGTGACTGGTGTCGAGATGCCAAATCAGGATAGAATACATTACAGATCCTTTGGATTTTGTCAAGAACCTCAAGATGAACAGTTGACTCTACTATAATGTGCATTCGACAAAATCAAAACAATGCGCATGTGCGAAATCAAAAATATAAAATGGCAGCAATTTTCCGATCGCACTGTATATATATATATATATATATATATATATATATATATATATATACATATATATATATATATATATATGCAAATAAAATGAAAGAACAGACACATTAAAAATCTTTCCTTCTTTAGCATTTCTTTTTTTTTATTAAAAGTACTCAGTACAACGTAGAGCAAAATATATTTTAATATTTAAAAAAAAAAAAATTGATATTCACTATTTTTTAAATCCTTGTAAAAATTACAGTGTTTATAAAATATATCTTCGTTGGCAGAGATAATACTGATTATATATTCTATGGATGAGATACCTGTTTTTTTTTTTTATAGATGGAAGATGATTAAACCTTGGGTGGTTATATAATGGATTAGTATTTGTTTTCTTGTATTTTTGGTATATACTGTTTACTAAGTCTAATGTTACATCTAGGAAGTTAAGCTTTTTTAATTTTGTATTTATAGTAACTATTAGGTTTACGTTTTTTAAACTCTCTATGTATTAATTTTCTTATTTTATCAGTTTTGAAGATGGTGGAATTCCTCACAACTATAAGGCCATCATCCCTATATAATCCTATATCCTCTATACTGATGTTCTGGTGGGCAGTAAGAATTTATAAAACAAATAATCCAACAAAATCGGAAGACCTCGCAAAATCCAAAATTCCCATAGTAACGTCAAAATTGTGTCTTGAGTTATTTTTCATCCACTGTTCCTTTTTATGGATAAGAACTGATTTTTTCGCATTCATAATGATATTCAATTCTTTCTTCGTTAAGTTTGAATACACAGTGGCAAATTCAAGAGCAGATGTAAAAATTTCCCTTAAAATGGAAGGGTAATAATGATTGATTAACGAAAAATTGGTTTTATTATTTATGTTATAAAATCAATTTGTGACATCGGTGGTTTTGATCCATTGCTTTAATCCAAGGTAATCCTTAATCTGTTTATTTACCCTTTCGAGTATGATGAACATCCCCCTCCAAATATTATTAGTATTTAAAAGAAATCAATAAAACCCACGCAGTTAACTGGAAAATATTAAAAAAAACGAGCATTTGTAAATCCTTAAATGACTCATGTCCTCTGTGTCTACATAAAAAGCTGCATATTGTTAGGTTTCCTAAAAATAATGATCTCTTAAATCAGCGTAATGAACGAACAGCATTTTGTTAGCATTGTATAATGGTTACTTTAAAATATAGTTAATAGAATTGTTCGTAAAAAAAATATATGTATTACATTTAGATACCCATTATTTTATTAATATATAATGGTATATATAACAGTTATTGAATTCCTTGATTTAAACTGTAATACTGTCATAATTTATGGTCCATTGAACATAATAAGTATTGAACATTGACATCAACACTGTTGACAGTCTGTTTCATGCTAGACGCAATCGTCAGGCTTGAAACAGCCTGTAGCCTCTAAGTGTTGACTTCAATGTTCACTTTATCTCATAAATATAGCACACCTTAAGAGTATATTTCTTTATATTCAGCTGCTGATAAACAGTAGAGCATTTTCACTACATTTATAACACAATATCTATCTATCTATCTATCTATCTATCTATCTATCTATCTATCTATCTATCTATGTGTGTGTGTATGTGAAAATTCATTTCCTTAGATATGACAGACAAGGAATATTTTGAATGTTTTTTTTTATTTTTTCTAGTATCCTTATAATTTATTCTTTTAAATGCTTTGGATATAGAAAAATTGTCCAAGAAATTCGGATAATACTTCAGCCAGTTTCAATGTTTTCTCTTTCCATTCTCTTGCAAACAAAGATTATTAATATATTTTATGTTATTTTCCCTGTTGCGTTGTGTGACAGTAGTGTTAATTTCATTCTTTCTGGAGTTTTCTGTCCAGTTTCTAAACACAGCCAATTCCCCCTGGCTACGCTCGAAATCAGTGCACTTCAGGGCGGATCCATATACATATATCACGTGTATTGATTAGAAACTGAACAGCATTGAAAGGGTTAAGATTATAAGAATGTGTTTTCAACGAGAAAGAACAAGAGAGACAGAGACCATCTTGTTTACAAGATGAAGCTGATTTGTCGTTGACAGTTTGATTTGGTCGCCATATTATTTTGACACTTCAACACTGACAGATTGACAGTTTATTTCACCTTTCACGTCTAAAACAAAACAAAAACGTTCTCCTAAAATAAACCTTTGCTTGTCTTGAGCGTCGTTTCTGTTTTTGTTCCCATTTGAGTACAAAACGACGTTTCTTTTTCCATTCTTTTCCTTTTCGTTCGTTAAATTATCCGGATCGAAGCATTCGTTTGAGATAATTGTCTTGTTTACTGTTTGTGTCGATCACATTTTTTTCGGTTCCGTACCGAGCGAGACTTGCCCAGTTAACCGTCAGAACTTTCAAATCGAAATGTGCGATATGTTACCCTTTTTTTTTTTCATCCGTATATTTTTCGAACTAGTATTTTCCAATACATTAAAGAAATTAAAGAGAAAAGGCGGCGTAGAGAGTCATGTTGAAGGCAATGTCCCCAGCAGCCAAAAAGATAAGCTGTAGGCATAGGTGGTCAAGCGTATCAGTAAGGCAAAGACGACAGTAATCGCAGCCGATAAGAATATTTTGTTTTACGGCTCCCAGTTCACGTTTAGGATTCGCCCACCGAACAACAGCCTAGTGAATTAAAGTGTTGATTCGTGAATTTGGGTGCATTCTTGAACAGATTAGTAGAGACACAGATTGGCAACAGGACAAGCAATGATTGAAAAAATATCACGAGACATAGAGAGTGAAACAATAACAATAACAATTTATCTCAGTTAAATAAAGGGTTTAATTCGGAAATTCCTTAAAGGTTATTTCGATCGAAAGACTCCTGGAGAAGACCAGAAAAGTTGTGGTAACAAGATAGGTGAGGAAATTAGTCCGAATGAAAACAATATAAATAGTATAAAGATAATCTTTATTTTATGTTAAGGTTTCGACATATACAGTAAAAATGCGTATATTTGTAGAGGTATATTTACAAATACATAAAGTTTAGCTATTAAGTCTATCCTTTTTTAACAGACAATAATCATAGACTGTGAAAATAAACAACACATAGAGATACTTGGGATTGTCCACCATGTGTGCAAAGATTGCCAGTGCCAATCATTCTATGTTATTCTCCCCTCCTAACATAGGGCCATGTCAAGTTTCCTCCGATATGAATACATAAAAATAGGCCTATCTATGTATAAAACTATATAATTCATGCCACTTATAGTTTCCTCTTTTGAAAGACATTCATTTCTATATATATATATATATATATATATATATATATATATATATATATATATATATATATATATATATATATAAAGTAAAAGACACATAAATAATGTAATCAAGTGTCTCCTTAATTTCTGAAAACACTCAATTAGTACCTCTAGGCAGATACTGTTTTTAGTAACAGTTCGCCATCTTCTACTTCCTTCTTTGTCTGTCTCCATCACCTCAACCCTTACATCTAAGAGTTTGCGAGCTCTAGAGTATGCCACATAGAATTGCCCGTAACTAAAAACTGGCTGAGGTAAGAACAATCCCACCTTCTCAAATATTCGTCCCTGTGACTTGTTAATAGTCATGTTATATGACAAATCGACAGGAAACTGTGAACTCTCTAAGATGAATGACAATTTAGAGTTTGTTGATGCATGCCCACCACTTCCAGTCTTGTACTAGTGCAGAGTTCATTGTGGATAGAAATGTTACAAAGAAGCATTACTTTTGAGTCGAGTTTTTAAACTCAATTTATGAGGCATTCCTGATGGTGTCAAAGAGTTCAGGAATTCAAGTGGATAGCGCTCAACCTCAGCAGGATAATCTGTTCAAACTTTATCTGTACTATAATGGGTGCAGCAGTCACCTAGAAGTTATCTCAAAGCCTTTTAATTGGTCAGTAGACAGTCGGAGTTCTTTGGAGAAAGAATAACTCTGCTCCTCTCTTCCTCAGATGTATTGTTGAAGATATCATTCAACAGACAGAAGTCAACTTTGAGGCACTTCTATGTCATCAACAGCAAGTTTAAGATTTGATATTAAGCTGCTGATATTTAATTGCCAAGATGCAAGAGTCATGCTGCAAATTCCCTTTGATCTGCTGTTGTCCTGATGTTTTGACTTAATCTATATTAGATGAAAATCAGCCATAGAGGAGAATTTTTAATACAGATTTCAATGATTGCTTCACGACTTATTCTTGGCAATATGGGCCAGACTTGCCTAAATTCTCCCC